AATTAACTGAAAAATGTTGCATAGTGTGCCTTTAACCTTGCCTAACCTCTAACCCTGATTAAGCCCAAGGATTCTGAAAACTCTTTTCCTGAGTGACCATCACTGTGAACGGTCTACGGACCTCAAACTGTTTGAACGTGGATGTCAGTTCCCCTTCTCTGTGAAAAGCAGCCTGTCCTGTTGGAGCTGGGCTTTCACCCCTGCTACTTTCCTTGGCTTAGACTGTTTTTATCCTAGTCCAGACCATCGTCTCCGTTTTTGTGTGGTCTGCGCTATGTTATTCCCAGTGGTGTCTAAAGTCCACACATTTATTACTTAAGTAGAAGTATAGATAATGCTTTTTAAAAACACTCTGGTAAAAGTTGAAGTATCAACTTGACCTCTTTACTCAAGTAAAAGTGCAAATGTATGTGCTCCAAAAACTACTTAAAGTTTAAAAGTATAAAGTAACCTTTAATAAAAACAGCCAGATGCCACTATATGAATTGAGAGCTCAATTTTCCGACTATTTGGAAAAATTCTTTGAGATAGGGCAAAGGATGAGGGAGGTCTTGTTGTCTTGTCCATCTCTCGATTAGCTCTCGCCTTTCAGACATTTCCACATCTTTTTCTGAATCTGACATTGTAGCATGGCATAGACAATTCACGTTTGCAGTTTGAAGAACACCTGCTTGCTTCTGATGATTTCCTTTAGCTAACCAATGAGTGTTTGCTTTACAAGACTCATCCAATTACACTAGTTTTCACTAGATGTGGATGGAGCCAATGATCTACACTGGATGGCACACATGACGTGAAATAAATATTTATAAACATTAAACTAAAGCCAAGAGTATTGAGTAACGTTTGTTTTAAAAATGTAAGGAATATAAAGTACAGATAGTTGTATGAAAATGTAATGAGTAGAAGTCAGAAGTAGGAAGAAAAATAAGTGATAGAGTAAAGTACAGATACCTAAAAAGTGTACTTAAGTACAGTTACAAAGTATTTGTACTTCGTTACATGACACCTCTGGTTATTTCACGCTACAATGCAAGAGGGACAATCATGAACTAGCTTTGGGTCTAGCTACAGCAGAGGCGGCGAGAAAGTGAGGGCAAGTTTGTGCGACAACGGAGGGACAGGAGGGAGAAAAAGAGCGGGGATCCAGGTGGAAAAAGGGTCCCAGCGTTCTCGCTCACCTCGCTCTTCTAGCTGGTCCATCTTCACGAGTTGTTTTCCACAATGGCAAACAAAGCAAGGTGGTAAGGTACCAAACAGGAAATACGCATAGCGTAGAGTGGATGTAGATTTGATCAATTGTCAATTGTGAAGGTGCGCACTAGAGTGTCTGCAGCAGGGGCGGGGGTATATTTGCATTCACTGCAACACACATGCAGATGACCTGGTTTCTGAGTATAAATCAGCCTTAAACCATATTAAGCTGGATATTTCAACATTTACTCTTTAGCTTTCAAATCAGTATTTTGAACTCCATCTTTATCTTGGCAGTGTGTTGGTTTCTGGCTCTTTAACTTAAAGCAGGCGTCCTCAAAGTTGGTCCTCAAGAGCAACTGTCCTGCAGGTTTTAGAGGTTTTTCTGCTTTAGCACAGCTGATTCTGATGATTGCAGTTCAGCAAAAGCCTGTTAATCAACTATCAATGTAAATCAGCTGTGCTGGAGCGGGGAAACCTCTAAATCCTGCAGGACAGCGGCCCTTGAGGACTGACTTTGGGGATTCCTGCCCTAAAGCGTGAACGTTTCTAAGGATCCTGCAGAATCTGCAGCGGTCTACTTTTAATGCTGCAGAGTTTGTTGTTTTACTTTAAATGATGAATTAAATGTATTTTACAAAGAAATGTTCACAGAAATGTGAGATATTTCACCATTTGATTTTTTTATTTTTAATAAAGTGTGAATTGCAGTGGTAAATGCTTTGGATTAGATTTCTTTTCTTGAATGATAGACGGGTGATATAAAAGCACTGAAGTGATGTCATTTCTTAAAGTGCTTTCTACATCTTCTTCTTGTGTTCAGGTACAAGGGAGGAACGAGGACTTGCCCAGTGGAGCTCCTCAGGCGACTCAACCTCCCCAGGTTCCTCCACTTACAATTTTCCTGTAGGGATGGGTTTGGTCAGACGAACTCGCTGGCTCCGCTGGTTTCCCATCTGCCCAACTTTCAGGGGTTTCAGGGTGTCTGATGAAGCTCTGCCTCCTGAAGAGGGGGAGGAAGGAGAAGTGGAGGAACTGGGTGACATCCCACTGCCAAGCACAAAGGTTTGACAGTGATGTCATCAGGATGAACCAATCAGCGCAGCAGGAAGTGTCCATCCGATTTAGTTAGATCAGAATAACTTGTAAGGTTTGTTCCAGATGACTGATCAATTATCAGAAGGTTTTTATCTATGGATGAAAGTACTAATTAAATGCAGCTGGACTGATTTATGAAAACTTAAATGATTAATCCTCATACCTAAGCAATTCCTATCTGAAGTGGCTACACCCGTCTTCACCTTTAGTTTTAGAACATGTTGTAAAGTGTTTAAGTTTTTAATAAAACCAGTTCAACCATGTTTCTGGTAAAATTCTAATTTCTTAAGAACCGTCACGAATTGTGTCTCCAGAATTAGTCAAATATAAACATACACATAGTTTCTGAATAGGTTAGAAAGGTCCCATCAATCTGATGAACTACTCATTAAGTAGAGTTGGCTCTGTAAGTGTCTTTGATGGCAAAGTGATGGTCTATAGTACGATATGACTAGTGAATTGTTTAATTCAATTCAATTCAGTTTATTTATATAGCGCCAATTCACAACACGTGTCATCTCAAGGCACTTTACAGTTCACCAGATCATACAGTTAAATTGATTCAAAGTTTTTTATCTAAGGAAAATCAGTTGATTGCATCGACTCGAATACAATCCTTCACACAAAGCATGCTTGTAGTGACAGTGGAGAGGAAAAACTCCCTTTTTAACAAAAGGCAACTGTAAAACAGTTCCACAGGCGGCCCCGTCCAAGAAACACACATCCAGGCAGACGAGCTCTGAGCCAGCTCCTTTGTCAGAGGATGGAGAGAGCACATCCGGCTAGTCAGTGTCAGAGAAACAGGACTTCACTGAAAAACAGGCCGATCTCAAACATCTATAATAAAAGGCGTTGATGGCAGCAGCACAGCTGATATTTCTCTCCAGGATGGAGTCACAGCCAAACAGGAACAGACCAGATGAAGCTACTATGAGAAAAATCGGAGAGAGTATTACATTAGAGATTGAACTAACAGATTCTGCAGAGTGGGAGAATAGAGATAGAATGAAGCATAATAATGAAAAATGGGTCCCTATGTCCTCCAGCAATCTAAGACTATAGCAGCATAACTATAGAGCTAGCTCAGGATAACCTAAGCCATTCGAACAAGGAGCCTGATAACTAAAAGATCTGCCTCCCATTCTACTTTTAGAAATTCTGGGAACTACTAATAAACCTGCAGACTGGGAGCGAAGTGCTCCTTTAGGAAAAAAGGGAACAATCAGCTCTCTGATATAAGAGATATGTCTTCAAGACATAAAAACAGCTATGTATGTATGTATATATATATATATATATATATATATATATATATATATATATATATATATATATATATATATATATATATATACAAACACTCACAAGTTTTTTTAAATTACATTACAACAGAATTTTTCTCTATAGGTCATAATACTAATTATCAAAGAGCATTTCTTAAAAATACTTAATAATAATAATAATATACGATATAGATATATAAAATTTGCAAAATATAATGTTATATTATAATATAAAACTTTGTGATTATCATGTTAATATTTAATTGCAAAATATATAACTTTGCATATATCTCATCCAGTTTGAATTCAGTTTAAATAGTTTTTAATTGGAATGTGTTTAATCTAACCTAAAGGTAATTTTAGAATTTGTTTTGGTCTTTTAACACTTTACAGGGCACTCAGTAAAATGTCTTAAAAATCAAAATTTCAAGCCAGTAGTGTTATTGGAATCCAGGACAAGACCTTATTACCTTTGTAACATTCAAAAAATAGGGATATTTTGATGGAAAACATTAATATCAATGAAATAACAAGAAACGAAACTTGCCCGAATATATTACGAAAAATAACAAAAGTATATAGGAATATATAACTTAAGAAATTCATGAAAAACACTCTGAGAGTGAAAGAAACACATTTTTGATACAACATAACCTTAGAGGCATTAATGCTGATACCGGCGCTTACATTTTTTTGTTTATAAACCTAAATAGAATTGTTAACTAGGCTTATTAAATTTTTAATCTTTACTTTTTAACTTTTTGATTAGGTTTTTACTTGACGTTTTAACTTTTTTTCCCCCAACTTAATTTACAGTAGGTAAATATATCATTCAAGGGCTCACCTTATTGGTCAAATGCCAAAATAAGATGTACAGCCATGTAGTAAGATACTGCTATCTTGTTACATGACAAAAAAAGGGTTAAGTGGTTGTGACATGTAATTTTCTGTGATTAAAATGAGCTCTTAGGCGCCTCCTGTTCACTCTGACTGCAGCTGTCTGAACTGTGGTCCGATCCAAGATGGCGGCTCCTCTACGCACGTCAGCCAGCACCCTTGCCATACTAATGAGGCGTCTACGTATATAATTGGCCCTATGCTTGTATGTCTATGCATGCGACGGCTACACACTCTGGTACAGTAGGTGGCGGTAAGCATCTATAAGCTGTTTACAATCCGCCAAACAAAGGAGAGAAGAAGAAGAATCCGGGCTGGTGCAGCTTCTCACTCAGGTGCTGCTCTCTTCTGGTTCTGCAGGCTTCCCTGGGTTTGTGGGCGGTCAGATGCCTGGTTTCCAGTTCTCAGGTCTGCAGGTAAGAGTTCGGTTCCTCAGAGTTCTGGCACCAGCTGTTAGGCCGTAAAATCAGATTGCAGGAGAAAGTTCTGGAGGCTAGAGTTGCATTGTACCCGGATCAGAGTTCGGATCGATGACTTGAGTCCACTTCCGGTTTGCGCTTGCAAACGGCTTGTAACTAGAGCTGCTTATCTGACCGGAAGTGAAGGAGCAGGCGTTTGGATAAGAGAAGATCGGTCATCGAAACCAGAACCGATACCGGGTTGTGGACCGAGCTGAGCATGCGCAGATCACAGGTTGGTATTTAGCCCGGGGCTCGCGTAGGAAACAGTTTCCACCTAAAAACAGGTGGGTGGGGGGGCCTGAAGGTGCGGTGAGCAGGTTGGAACAGGTGGAGAACAGGTGCAGAACAGGTGGGAGGTCCGTCTCCATGGAGACTGCAGGTCGGGACAGGCAGAACCGGTCAGGTTTAAACTCACAGGTAGGGGCTTCCAGAACCCAATCAGTACCAGATCCAGCTGGAAATCTGCCCAGGCTGCAGCAGGAGGCCAAACATTTCTCCCTGCTTGAATCCCATCCCAGACAGGAGAGGAATGAATAAACTTCCCAGCCTACAGAGACACAGAGATGGATTAACACAAATGCCCGGTGGGCCGGTCCTAATTTCTGCATGCACATACTCTTTGGCCGAAGCTCCTACCTGTGACAGTAAATAACTCAAGGAGCTCAAGATGTTAACTACCTAGATGATGCATGCGGTATATATAGCCCTCCCTTGTCATGCACATCCTTGTGACGGACGGCATATGGTGTGATTTTCTATTTCTTCAAACTGTAAAATCCTTTCAACAAACTAAATTATATTAAAATAAAATGCTCTAAACCAGACTACGATGATCCTCTTATATTTGGCAAATTTATTTTAGAATATTTAGCTGAAATATGTTGCAGTGCTTGATGGCGTTTTGCATCTAAAGGCTAACGTTTCCCGTCTTGCGTGCATTGTTGATATCTGGCAACCATTGTTGTGTCAGTGTTAATAACCAAATCCAGTAAAACCGCATTATAGTAGTCTGGTGATGGTTGTCTTGTGATGCTTCAAGATAGATCGGTTAATGTACAATGTGTTTCACATTTGAGATGCACACATTTCACTGTGCGGGGGTTGGGGGGGGTGGCAGCAATAAGTGGGCTGGTGTAGATGGAAAAACGCCAGGGCCGAAAATTGTTCCCAGGAGCCTTAGGGAACTTAAATAAGGCGGCTCTATCCTTATGGGGGTTAAAGTAAAAAGGTGCGACCCAACATGTTCTAATGGGTTCTAAATCTGGACTGCAGAACTTTTAGTCTTTGGTTCCTACATGACAATCAGTCCAACACTCAAACCACATGCTGCAGTCTTCTTCTCCTCTCCCTCCAAATGGGGGGCAGTAACAGACCCAGACCTTTATCAGCACCATCATGTTTCTCCTGTTAAAGGCTTCCTCTGTCCTCCACCTTTCAGACGTGTCTCTGCTCCAACAGCAGGACTCTGGAGAACCTGCCTGCAGCCTAAAGCCTGGTTTATGCTCAGAAACTAGGTCGTCTGCGCAGTTAACGCAGATATGCCCCCCTCCCTTTCGCAGACAATCTGGTGCACCTCCCCAAAATTATAGGTGGATGACAGCCGACTGAAAATCAACCATGTTTGATTTTCTCCCGACCTCACAATTCCTGATCGTTAGGTGCTCGTGAGAGGCTGATCACCCCTCATTATCCCCTGTTCACTACATGATGTACGATCAGGCTGAAAATTAGCCCAATCGAAAAAATTCTCACACGACTGGAAAGTCGCCCTGAAAAGGCCAAAATATCGCACAGTAAGCCCGGCTTTACATGTAATTTATCCTAATATTCCAAACACATTTCTTAGTTCATAGGCTGCATGTGAGGCATTGATAACAGCACCCCAAACATTTAAATTAACTTGAACCTAACTTGATTTATGCAAATTTCTGGTGTATTGGCGGTATTTTATTTTACATTTTTGGAACGCCACTCAGAGTGGCATTAAACAAGCACATAGCTAAGTCACTGCACTGCTGAGTTATTGGATCTCTGGTTCCACGCTGAATGTTCTCAAGGTGTGTATAGCTCATTATCTCAAAGATCCAGTCCTGCTGTTAAAAAGATGAAATGCTCCAATATGGGGGGCTTGTGGCTGATTGTGAACCCATAATCTGTAACAGGCCCTAGTGTGGCTCTGGTTCCAAGTGGTTCTGCTGATATTGGAGATCCTCTCACATTGGACATGCCCATCTCAGTTTGGCTCCTCCAGCTGGGCCAAACCCAGTGTTTCCATGGCTGCCTCCTTTTTCTTTAGGATGCTAATGTCTGGAAAGTTTCTCTTGTACTTTAATTGGGGTCTCTGATCACAGTACTGTCCGATTGTCCTCAGGATGAAGTTCTGGCTCAGGGCCCAAAGGTCCTGGTTACAGGTGCGACCGGCCTCCTTGGCCGGGCCGTCTGCAGAGAGTTTCAGAGCCATGGCTGGGTGGTGACTGGGACCGGATTCCGGAGAGCCCGGCCCCGCTTCCTGAGGTGTGACCTGACTGACGAGGATGCCGTCAGGAGACTGCTTCAGGAGTATAAGGTAAAATGTTGAGTTTCTGTAATGTTGAGTTTCTGTCGGACTTTCATAGGAAACCCATACACCACACTGACGCACTGAACATCGTGGAGTCCAGCATGAGACTATAAGAACCCCTGGTGGTTTGGTCTGGCCCATCTAATAACGTTAGATCCTGGTTTTTATATATGCGAACTGGTCCAGAGAACCGGTGCTCAGAACCAGGACTCTTTGGTCGTCAGATGGTCGTAATGGTCAACTTGACATTTTGTTCTGGATCCAGAGGTTAGCTGAAACAATGAGAACATCTTGGAAACCAGGTTATCCTTTGTGAAACTCTGATGCTTTAAAGTAGTAGGGAAATCATTTTTAAATGTCAAATCATTCTGGCTTAAACATGTATATTACTCTTTATCAGACATTATTGTCCCAAAATTATAAAAAAAAATAAATAAATCCTGTCTTAAAATCTCTCTTTTTTTTCATTATTTTGTGGAGGCCAGTTAGTTATACATCAGCTTGAACACCTAAATTCGGCCAATCATATATCAACGGTCATCTGTCAACTTTTTTCGGTCATAGCATCTTGATTCATGTGTCACAGCTAATATAGGCAACGGTTGAAATAAGAAATAAGAATCTTTTATTTTACCACTGAGTTACATCCCAGTGTTCACGGGGATATACGTCTTTGTGTTCAGCAGGCGTAGAGCTAACAGAACTGGCAGCGTTGCGAGGCAAGGGCTCAAACATGTACGGCTGTAAGCCTTCTACACCAAACAAAGCTTCTGCCGCCCTGTCGTCCTCTTCCACAACATCTTCATCCCCACTTTCTTCCTCTAAATAAAAAATGGATGACATAGGAGACTCATCCACGACCTCCGCCACTAAACTCTCCTCTTGCATGTTTCCTCTGTCCATAGCGTTCCTTGACAGTGTTGTTTTTAAGTCAACAATTTAGTGCTGCTTGGTCCCAATGGAATTTCCCATTGGGAACCTACTAGCACTAAGTTGCTAACTGGTTAGCAAAATGCTTCTGATAAACCGGCCACAACCAAAAAGCTGGCGAACCTTCCGCCACAACAATCCTGCATCCTTGATAATCAACCAATCACGTTCATTTTATGCACTCGTGTAAAGTCGTGCTCCACTCGGGAGAATTGGGAAATGCAACGGTTTGAACAGCCGCTTCCCTTCGACTTTAAGAAATCATTGTAACCATTCAACAGAGCCTCACTATGGAACCATCTCTGATCTCCTCTGCCTCCGTAGCTCCCAGTACTGAGTAGCTCCCAGTCACATCTTCTACTGCTGGACGCTACAGGGCAGGTACCGGGCTATTAGTACGAGTAGGGCTCGGTATTGTTCAAAAATTTTCGGTTCCGGTACCAATACCGATACCTTCACTTCGATACCGGTTCCTGAACGATACTTTTTTCGATACCAGTTTTATAATATCAATTCGAGAAAAAAAAAAGAAAATCACACAACATAAAAAAGTACAAATCTTGAGTTTTATTTTAAGCTCTGTTTTTCCATTTACATTTTTCCTCTTACATAAAAAAAAAATTCAGTGTCTAATATTCACTGTTAAATTGTGAGGACCTTTTTACTTAGCAGTTTTCCTTTAGAAAAATTACCATGTCTGACAAACAAGCCCGTTGAATGGGATCCTACTGACAGCGCACCGCTGGTATGTGGGGGTCTGAGCGGCTCCGACAGAAATAATATTGGAAGGTAGATATGGATGAACTGACTGCAGTGATTAAGTTTTCAGGTGGATTTTCCCAACATAATAAAACTACTTTATTCCCACTGATCGCAGCAAATATAACTGCCAGGCAAATAAAGGATAGTGTAGCTCCGCCCAACGCGCATCAGAGCCACTTTTGCACTGCGCAGCCAGAGCAGCAAAGCTGCTTCAGCCGCGCGATAGAAGCTGGTACAAGCAGCAAAAAAGAAGCAGCAGACGTGATTTTGCAGCTCCTGCTGTGTCCAGTTTGAAAGCTGCATTCTCCATGAGTGTCTCGCATTATTCACTCCGCTCTGGCTTTGCTCTGCCCACGGGCTGCTGAGAGGAGGATAGTCGCGCTGGCTGCGGTCCGCTCTTCTTGCAGTCAAACACCGAGCGACTTTCTGCTCTTAAATTATTTCCGTGCACAATGTATTGCATTGCGCACTATTGGCATCAGTCTTAATAAAGTGAAGCCGCACTTTTGACCTGGGGGGCATTTTAAAGGGGTTCCGCGACGCTCACAACCAGTTCACATGAACCCTGGCTGTAGGCGTGACCACCTGTGTATTTTTCCTGGATGACGCAATCACGTTAAGTGTTACAGCCAATCACCGAAACTTGGTACCGAAAGACGAGGCATGTTTCGATACTTTGTAGAACCGAAGCATTTCGGTCGGTACCATAAAAGAACCGAAGTTCGGTACCCAGCCCTAAGTACGAGGTAGAACCTCTGTGTCCAGTGTTCACTGATCAACCGAATGCACCAAGTCAACAGCATTTTAAGCTTCTGAAGGATATTTGGGCGGAGAAGCTCAAGCTCTGGCCTTCAGTCAGCCTGCCGGGTCCATGTATAGGGTCTGATAAAAAAGCAGATTAAATCAGTTGTACATTAGCTCCTTCCTGGATTGTTAAAGCTCCTCATGGTCCACAAAAAACATCAGGTTCTGTTTACTTTGACTCAGGGTGGGCGGATCAAGATGTCTGATTAATTTTACTGTGTTTCAGCCCGATGTAGTCATTCACTGCGCAGCAGAACGGCGCCCAGACGTCATGGAGCGTAACTCTGATGCTGCAGTCGGCCTGAACGTTCACGCCACCAGCACGGTGTCCAAGGAGGCAGGTCAGTGGTGACCAGGTGCTGTCAGATGTTCTGGGAATTTTATTGCAGCTTTTTACTGAACAACCAACAATGTTGATCATTCAGTCCGAGGAGCACAAAGACTCTAGTGCGACCCACTCCCTGGCTCAGACCATGATTGTCTCAGAGAACTGACTTTGGGTTTCCATGGACGCTTTGTGGCTCCTCGTGGTCTCCTTTTCCCGGTCCAAATCGCTGTTGATGGGACGTAAAGGTTTTCAGGAGCTCTGTCCGTGTTGGCTGCATCCAGAAGGGTTAAGGTTCTACCATGAGTACTAGGTCAGAGTCCAAAGAGAAAACAGAATGCCTTACTTGAGCCCAGAGAACTACTGATCGGAATCAGTTGATCAGATTCCATTAAAGTTTAGACCACAGGGGAGAACAAGAACTGGAGCAGAACCTGTTACTGTTTTGATAAGGCTTTAGTTATTGTACAAATTCAGGACACATCATTGTTAATTTCAGCAGGAGATTAATGAACCTGAATAAAATGTCTTGCTGATGATTCAACATGGTTTACCTGTTATGACCAGCATCATGTATGTTGCATGTGTGTGTTGTCCACCTGCAGCTGCCTGTGGGGCTGTCCTCATCTACATCAGCACCGACTACGTGTTTGATGGTCGGAACCCTCCGTATGGAGAAGACGACTCTCCCAACCCACTCAATCTGTATGGCCGAAGCAAACTGGAGGGCGAGAGAGAGACTCTCCGACACTGCCCAGGTAGCCTCTGTCCAAGTTGCCTTTTTCCAGGTAGCCTCTGTCCAAGTTGCCTTTTTCCAGGTAGCCTCTGTCCAAGTTGCCTTTTTCCAGGTAGCCTCTGTCCAAGTTGCCCTTTTCCAGGTAGCCTCTGTCCAAGTTGCCTTTTTCCAGGTAGCCTCTGTCCAAGTTGCCCTTTTTCAGGTAGCCTCTGTCCAAGTTGCCCTTTTCCAGGTAGCCTCTGTCCAACTAGCCCCTTTTCAGATAGCCTCTGTCCAACTAGCCTTTTTTCTAGATAGCCTCTGTCCAACTGGCCTTTTTCTAGATAGCCTCTATCCAACTAGCCCCTTTTCCAGGTAGCCTCTGTCCAACTAGCCCTTTTTCCAGGTAGCCTCTGTCTAACTAGCCTGCTTTCCAGAAAGCCCCTGTCCAAGTAGCCTGTTTTCCAGAAAGCCCCTGTCCAAGTAGCATTTTTTCCAGAAAGCCCCTGTCCAAGTAGCCTTTTTTCCAGAAAGCCCCTGTCCAAGTAGCCTTTTTTCCAGAAAGCCCCTGTCCAAGTAGCCTTTTTTCCAGAAAGCCCCTGTCCAAGTAGCCTTTTTTCCAGGAAGCCTTTTTTCCAAGTAGCCTTTGTCTTTATAGCCTCTGACTGGATAGGCTTGGTCCAGGTAGCCTTGTACCATGCAGCTTTTGTCAAAGTAGCCTTTGTCCTGGTAGACTCTTTACTGGTAGCCTTGGTCCAGGTAGCCTCGTACTTGGAAGCCTCTGTCCAAGTAGCCCTTTTCCAGGAAGCCTCTGTCCAAGAAAGCCTTTGTCCTTGTAGCCTCTGTCATGGTAGCCTCTGTCCAGGTAGCCTTTTTCCAAGTAGCCTTTGTCCTTATAGCCTGTGACTGGATAGCCCTGGTCCAGGTAACTTTGTACCAGGCAGCTTTTGTCAAAGTAAGAGTTTTCCAGGTAGCCACCTTCATTTTTTCTTATTGTCCAGGTTAGACACTTGTTTTTTATGTCCAGTAGGTACTGTTGTTACGGTTAAATACAATTTACTCTCTCTTTTCGGCAGAACTTTTATAGCAGGTGGTGCTTATGCTCTGCTCTGTTGTTATTATTATTATTATTTTTTTCTTAACCTGTAAATAAGACCTGGGCTGATGTCAGGTTGGGCAAATGGTACTCGTTATTCCTTAACCTTTCATGGGTACAGCATTTTGAACACAGTGAAGGTGTGAACATCGGCATGAGTCCCACAGGGAACAGGGAAGAGAGGGTGAATTTTTGTCAAAATCTGTGAGGTAGGCTGTGCTATTACTTCCTATTAGCAAAGGACTGTGGGAAACTGCAGCAGCAAATAGGAAGGTTAGAAGTTCCCTGTGCCAAAGAAATTAAGATGGGAAGATCCTGCTTCTTCTTTCTCTCTCCTTCCACAGTTCTCCTGTCAGTCACTTGGTTTTTCTGGGTGTTTAGTGGAGTAAATATGATCACAGGGCCTGCTTTACCAGACCTAGCCTTTGACTGGACAATGAACACTGGACTGATGCTTCTCACATGTTTCAGGTGCAGTGATTCTGCGTGTTCCTGTCCTGTTTGGGGAGGTGGAGTCAGTGATGGAGAGCGCAGTGACGTCTTTATGGCAGAAGATCCAAGAGGCGACGGAGGAGAGCTGCCCGATGGAACACTTCATGCAGAGGTTCCCGACCGATGCTCGAGACGTTGCCACCGTCTGCAGGAAGCTCGCTGAGAGAGCGAGGCAGGTCAGAGCAGTGTCTCAGTTCACCATCTCACAGATTCCACTAGAAGCAGAGTGTTGTTGGAGAGTTTCAGCTGGAAACCTGATAAACAGCATCCGTTAGATCTGAGTTGCTGTTCAAGTGCTTTATATGTTCTATCTTGTTTCACGGGGTGGAGGCTTCCCTTCCAGGTGACGCTCACAAAGTAACAAAATAGCTTCTACATATTTGCATTAGGAAGCTTCATTTCAGCATGTTTTCCATTTCCTGGTCTGCAGATTCTCCCAGGCCACCAACATCGTCAATATCTAATATATTTAATTTGATTTTAACCAGCTCAAAGCTTTTTACTCATAATTCTGCCACAATTTGTCTTTGGGTGTCAGTATTGAAAAGATCCTAGCAACCAAACAGGAAACAAAGCAAAAACACGCAATACTAAATAAAATGCTAAAATAAAAAAGGGCTCTTTTGTGCATAACAAAAAACAAAAAAGCGAAATGAAAAGACATTTACAAAAAAAAAAAACAGTGGAAATACCGTCCAAAAATTAGATAATTATCAGAGCATCTCCAAACTATTTTCTCCGATCTTTACGTTCTGGGAATTTTAAAGAAGCACAAAAAACTACATTTGAGAACATTGGCAAATTTAGAGAACACCTCCAAAACCTCTGAACAAGACCACATTACATCACAGCTATTAGAGCTTCTGAAAAATATTTAAATAAGGTAATAAATAGTGTCTGTGATTTCCCTCCATCTCTTCTGTATCTTCTCATACGGGATCGCTTTTTCAAAGGACGAGGCCAACGTCTTCTACATCACAGCTGATTTATTTAACGTTTTAATTGGTGTGCGGGGAGACGCTGACATTTGGGGTTCACAACATTCTTCATTTTGCAGGGGATTACATTTTAAGGTGGTGGAGTAAATTTGCAAACCTACCTTTTGCAGCAATGGTTTTTGGTCTTACAAATTAGCGCCTTTAGTGGGACATCCATCAATCCATCCGTTTTCTGTCATGACATGCAGTGTCAGGAGGGGTGCTGGTGCCTATCTCCAGCTGTCTACGGGTGAGAGGCGGGGTACACCCTAAACAGGTTGTCGGTTCATCACAGGGCAACACGGAGACAAACAGGACAAACAACCATTCACACACAAACTCACAACTTAAGACAATTTAGAGAAACCAATTAACCTAACAGTCATTTTTTCTGGACTGTGGGAGGAAGCCGGAGTACCTGGAGACAACCCATGCATGCTCAGGGAGAACATGCAAACTCCATGCAGAAAGAGCCGGGCAGGTAATCAAACCCGTTTCTTCTTGCTGTAAGGTGGCAGTGCTACCAACTGTGCCCTTGTGCGACATTCTTGGCATAAAATTCAAACCAGTGCGGTATATTGCTTATCCGAAACACCTGCTGTCGCCAAATTTTGCTTCCCGGTTGCTGTAGTGTGCATGTGTGCCCAGCAGAAAATAATCCTATTTGGATGAGAGGTTTATAATGTATTCGAAGTGTGTGGGAGAAAAATTTAACTATAAGGGAAATTGATGCAGAGGGCTTAACAGCGTCGTGCGACTATGTTCTCGATAGCTGCGATAGTCATTTTAAACTATTGTGCGTGGAAAAACTCGAGATACATTGAGTATATTCGAAATATCGTCTACCCCTACTTGTAGTGACGTTGGAGAGGAAACCTCTATATGAAGAGAACGAAATCTCCAGAAGAACTAGAACCAAGCACAGTGTGAGCGGTCTTCTGTTGAGGGCGATTGGGGTTCAAGGAGACAGAAGCAGACATACTCTTCTCTTTCTGTCTCGGACCATTCAGAGGGAAACCTGTCAGCCTGGACTCTTGTTGCTGTAGAGTTTCTTCTTTGGTCATCCTTGTTATAATGTTATAATTTAATCCCATTTTTGACTATTTATGTATGATTTAGGGTTTATGTTTGAGGGAAGAAGTGAATCGATTCTACGTATTGTTGTCTGAAACACCAACAATCTTCACATCTGACAGCAACGCCGTTATGTCGAGTCAAAAAGAGGCAGAAAGCTTGCATTCTCCAATGGATGGAGTTGGATTTTTGTCTCAAATGTGTAAAATGCGTTTCTGATGGAGCAAGTATAGCATTGGTAAAAGAGTGAGGGTTTGGCTAACATTGGATTGAACACTCACGATTTATTGTTCACTGCTAAATGGATCCTGACACTCCTAAATTTCTAGAGTACCATTGCAGCATCCATCCACCAGATCACATCTAAGCAGGTTTACTAATAGTAATTTGAACGCCTAAAAGCTCAAAGTAATATATGTATAGTGATAAAACACAAAAGTCATATAAAAAAAGAGGCAAATCAGAGCACGCCTGTAAAATCTGTTCACCTCCAGTGTTTGGCAAGACAACCTCTAGTTCTACAGCAAACACACAAGGAAAGATTTACTTCCACCTTCAAGGAAATGTGGACTAACAGGGATAAAATCAAAACCAGTTCTTTAAAGACCAAGTCCTAGACTAAACTCTCCTAGACCTAGACTGAATTCTCAAAGACTGCAAACTCCTAGACCTTGGCTGCACACACCTGGACCACACCCTCCTAGACCTAGAACACACTCTCCTAGACTTTCTGTACTTTCTGTATGGCACCCTCCTTGATTGTGCCCTCTTTGACCTAGACTGCGTCCTCCTAGTCCTAGACTGCACCCTCCTACATGGCACCCTCCTAGACCTTACCCTCCTACACCTATACAGCACACCCCTGGTCCATTGACTGCACCCTCGGATACGGGACTCCCCTGGACCTAGACTGCACCCTCCTATACGGCACCCTCCTAGACCTAGACTGCACCCTCCTAGACCTAGACTGCAACCTCCTATTCGCACCATATCTGCAGTTGAGGCGGTCACACTGGAAGACGTAGACTGACTCAAACTCCAAACCACATATATACCAAAATAACAAAATTATCAATACATTCTGATGAACTTATACATCACTTGCTGTTTTATCTATGAATGTAATTTTGATAGTTGAGAAAAATATCGTAATATATATACAGTGATATTGCAATATCGTGATATCGTTTCGTGACCCAACAATTGTGACATGTATCGTTTTGCAACACCCATACCAATACTCACCCCTAATTGGAACATCTAAGGCTCATCCAGGCCTTGTCGGCAAATTGCAAGTAAAATCTAATCTGCTTATTAAATATATCTGGATTTTAAATCTAGTATGAACAGGAGTGTTATGTCTGTTTGATGATCCAGCATTTTCTAGAAAAGGTTTTGCTTTGGTAATGACAGACGGAACCTGGAAAGCGTTACCAAAAAAATGCTGAAACAAAACATAACGTCATTTACTTAAAAAAATTATGTTAATTGAAATTATAATCTATGACACAGTAAAACCACAAAATCTTATCTTTAACCAATCATTTCAAATAGAATTATTTCCAAATAAGATGATGATGGAAAAAATCGTACCCTTTTATAAAAGTGATGACCATTTCTATTCAAATTACAGACCAGTTTTACCATTAGCTCTGTTTCAAAGATCTTAGAAAAGAAATGTTTGCAAAAAGACTAGATAACTAGAAAATCAAATTTATGATGTTATGAACAGTTTGGTTTCAGGGCAGGTCGGTCCACTTCAGCGGCCGTAATGAATGTATTGCTTGTGTGATAGATGAGAAATACACAGTGGGGATTTAAAGAACCATTAATCAAAGCTGGTTGTTTAATAATATTTTGTTTTATTCAGGCCGTGCATATGCATGGCTGGTGAGTTATCCTGAAAATGGCTTCCAGTTCGTATGTTATAAGACTTGGAAATCAGGAATACTGAGGGTGAAATATGGGGCTCCATGCTGGCCCCTAAGCTGTTCATTAGATCTATTAATGATATCTTTAGGGCTTCAGATGGGCTAAAATAGGTTACAGTTACAAATAACAGATGACTTTATTTTGTTCATGGGGAAACCAGATTCTCAGTGTTATGAAGAAAGGACTTGATAAAACTAAATAAAAGATTTTATATCAACTAATTTTCTTTTATAAAACAAAAAAAAAACTGGGTACAGACATATTAAAAAATAGCAAATTAAATGAAGTCGTTTTGGAAAGTGTCTAAAATAAATTTCTTAGGAAATTGACTGCAAATTAATCTGGAAATCTCACCTAGTTTTTACACAGACAAAATTGATTAAATAATACTACCATATTAATGTTAGACTGTTATCTCATTTACCATTTATCGCCTACCAGTTACAAAATCCAAAATATAGGCTGCGGAAAAGAGCCATAAGGACAATCATTTATTCAACATATAATCAATCTACCAAACCCAGATTTCTTCCTTTTTAAAGCACTAAAGTTCAGTGATCTTGTATATCTTTATACTTCATTGGTAATGTATAAAATTAAAAAAAGGTTATTGTTAAAAAAAATTTTTTTAAATTAGAGAAAGTAAATCTAATCTCGGCTAGTGGATATGTTTGGAGATTAACTGTTTCCAGTAATGTTGGGAATTTATGGAATAATCTTTATCAAGAACTGTAACTCGATTTCATACTTTGAGAACTTGAAAACTTCAAATAGAGTAAGAGTATGTTCTGTTTGACATTGTCTCCTAGAAATCTTTTCAGCTAGATGGAAAGTAGGTAGATAGGATTCAGCTTAAGCCTTTTTGGCGAAACGTATGAATTTTTTTTTTTGCTATTATGTAACATTGTTTAAGAAATACACATATGTTGTATTTTAATCGTAACATATTTAAAATTTTTATTTTACCAAAATAAAGGAAATTTAAAATTCAGTGCAGGGTTTGGGTTTATATTTGAAACGTTGCTTGTGTGTGGCTAAAGGACAGTATCACATTAGTGTCGCTGTTTGTTCTTTCTGCTTCTATTTGATTTAGTTTTATTTAGTTTATTAATTTCTCGGAGGATGCGCTGAATCCCTCCTAACGCATTAACTAACGCAGAAGGTCACACATGAAAGGAAGTCCTGAGACCAATCAAACCCATTTTTCTCTCTGCAGGATCCGTCCATCCGAGGAATCTTCCATTTTTCGGGGAAAGAGCAGATGACCAAGTATGAGATGGCTGTGGCCATGGCGCAGGCCTTCAACCTGCCATCCAATCACCTCATCCCTGTGAGTCAGCTGACTTTACTGGGACAGTACCCAGTGAGCTGTTTAACTTGATGAATTTAGTTGCTTGTTTCAGATGGTTCTGTTGTAATGGTGTCTCTGTAACATCCACAGCTGACTGAGCAGCCAGCTGGGTCAACTCCTCGTCCAATCAACAGCCAGCTAAACTGCTCCCGCCTGGAGCTGCTGAACCTGAGCGTCGAGCCTCGAGCGTTCTCCACCTCCATCGTGGAGTGCCTGTGGCCGTTCACGGCTGACAAACGTTGGAGACAGACCGTCTTTCACTGAGGGGTTCTCGTTGGGATGAACAGGATGAATCTTAGCTAATATTGTAACTGCTTCAAATGTGAAAACAAAAGTTTTGGTTTGAATTTCTTCCTCTTTAAAACGTCCCTAAAGATGCATGTGTTGGAGTCCTGATAGCCCCCTGAAGGCTGCATCCATGATGTAGAAACTGAAGTGACTCCGCTTTGTCTCATTGTAAAGAGACTGAGTTTACCTGTCCACCCTAACTGCTCCTCAGTGTTTGATCTAAATCTAATTATGGTTTGGATTGTTCACATTAATCAGCTGCACCTCTTATCTGATGTCACTGACATGTTAGTAATAATAGATTATCCACAGATGATGTATATATGTTAACAGCATGAAACTGAGTATTTGTTGCTGCTTAATTAATTGAATAATAAAAGAGGTTGAATATCTTATTTTGTCTGTAAATGTCATCAGAGGTAAAAACTGATCTGATCCGAGTTATAATGCCCCCTATAGGTTGGAGTCCAACTGGTCCTGTATCCAGTCTAAGCCACATTTATAACCGGCAAACTTTTTGAGGAAAACCTGATCGGATTCGGAGAGATGGCATCCATCCTACTTTGGATGGAACAGCTCATCTTTTCTAGGAGTCTGACCAAATTTTTTTCTCTTTCAAACCCTGACATACTAGGGTACGAGGAAGCAGAGTTGCACTTGAACACACCTTTCTGCAGTTTCTCTGCTGTTACCCAGTCTTTATTTGTGAGTTAATTATTCTTGCCCATGACCAAAACCAGATAAATTGGAAAAGATCTCAAAGGAGTACATCATCCATCCCTCCATTCTCTAACATGCTTAATCCCAAGTGAGGGGACCCTAGACAGGTCGCCAGTCCAGCGCAGGGTGTACATCATGATTATCTAATTAAATGTGTTTTATCTAACATATCTCTTCAAAAAGTGTTAGTTAATGACTTGATTTGTGATAGTCGAATACGGTAGATTTGTTGCCTTATAGAAACTTGGCAACAGCAAGATATTATGTGAGCATAAATGAGGCAAATCCCTCTGGCTATTCACATTTGCATATACCGTTCCATATAAATTCTGTGTGAGGAGCAGCAACATTCTTTCATTCTGATGTAATGATTACTCCAAAGTCATTCCAACTGAGTCTGAGAATCTTTAGTATACTCCAAAGTCAGTTAATGATTACAACTCTTGAATATTTAACCCTTAGTTTCCCTAATCCAAATTTCAAACCAACAAAACCTTTTCTTCTTGTAACTTTGTATTGTTCATTAGGTCCTTAAGCTGAATCTTTAGATGAGTTTTCAGAGTTCCTATCAGATTTAGTACCGACAAGGTGATCATAGTGGGAGATTTTACCATCCATGCTGACATTGAAGGTGATGGCTTAAATTTAGCATTTAGTGCTATCTTAGACTTGACTGGCTTTGTTCAAAATGTGACTAGTCCCTCACATTCTCTTCTTCGTAAACTGAGCGTTTTGGTGACGTGGTATTGTCCTCAATTTTTAATAAACGTCAACATTACTTTAACAGGGTTCTCCTGCCCCAAAAAGGGAGGTTTAATTTCAGCAGATAGTTATAGGATAATGCAGTTATATATTGTAACGAATCTGTTCCACTTTCCAGTTCCTCTGTATCATTGAACAATACAGCAGAGGGCAACCATTTTATTCTCCTTCTAAAATGGATGATTTTGTTGATGGAGTTACTAGTTCTCTGCGTACTGCCTTAGACAAAAGGCCCCCATTTGTAAAGAAAACCTGGTTTAATGCAGAGCTGCACAATTAGAAGCAAAATGCTATGAAATTGGAGAGAAAATGGTGCTCTACATGCCTACAGGAATCCTACCTAGTCTGGTGAAACAGTTTACTGCTGTATAAAATGAGATCATTTGCATTTCCTCCAAATATGATTTTTTTTTTAGGCTAGTAGGCATCTTATGTAACTATAAGATCTGAGCCATGTTTAGCCCGTTATAAACCAGTTGAACATTCAGAGTTAGCAAAACTATCATCTTCTTCTAAGGATTCTACTTGTATGTTACATCCAGTCCCAAACAAGTTATTTAAAGTCATAGAGAAGCGGCTGTTCCAACTGTTGCATTTCCGAATTCTCCCGAGTGGTGCACAACTTTACATGAGTGAATAAAGCAAATGTGATTGGTCGATTATCAAGACGGCGGGATTGTTGTGGCGGAAGGTTTGCAAGCAAGTTTGGTTGTGACTGGTGTCTTGGAAGTCTCTTGCTAACCAGTTAACAACTTAGTGCTAGTAGGTTCCCAATGGGAAATTCCATTGGGACCAAGTAGCACTAAATTGGTGACTTAGAAACGACACTGTCAAGGAAAGCTATGGACAGAGGAAACATGCAAGAGGAGAGTTTTGTGTCGGAAGTCGTGGATGAGTCGCCTCCATAATAAATTTTTTATTTATTTGTTTAGTTGTTGTGGAAGAGGACGGCAGAAGCTTGGTTTGGTGAAGAAGGCTTACAGCCGTACATGTTTGAGCCCTTGCCTCGCAACGCTGCCAGTTCTGTTAGCTCTACGCCTGCTGAAGACACAGACGTCCATCACCGGGAACACTGGGACGAAACTCAATGGGAAAGGAAATGATTCTTATTTCTTCTTTCAACCGTTGCATATATTAGCTGCAACATATGAATCAAGATGTTATGACCAAAAACATTTGATTGACAGATGACCGTTGATATATGATTGGCCAAATTTAGGTGTACAAGCTGACGTATAACTAACTGGCCTGCAGACGATGCCATAGTTTGACCTGCTAATTTTCTGTGAAAAAATAAAGATGAGCACTGGATATGATTAATAATATTAAAATATACTGTATCCAGGTACTGTACAGTATGTTTGAAAAAATAAATTTTTATACATCACTGAAACAGAAAAAAATATCTTAATATTTTAATCAATAAAGCTTTAATGGGATAGCTTTGTTTTAGCAAATAAAATGTGTTGTGTTGTAAAAATAAGAGACCATTTCCACAAAATAGCATTTGCAAATTTTTTTTATTAAGATAGCGCAAGTTATTTCTTGAATTTTCTTTTATTTTGGGAACATTTTTCCCTCAAACATAACTTTGCACCTGCTGGAATTGAACCAGCGACCCTGGAGTCTCTCTTTCTCTTCTCCCCTTCTACCCCAAACAAAAAAACAAAAATATCTGCATCATATCTGGGACAAGCTCACTGCGACACACTGCTGACACACTTACTGAAATCCTTTGCTTTGTCTTCTATCATGACAAATTTCTGAAGTGTTTTACAGTTGTAAGGTATAACTGGTCTTGTCAATGTATTTGACAGTTTTTATAGAGCCAACCCACCCTGCAACACATTACTTGCGCCGGGCATACACTGTACGATTTTTTTGCCTTTTTTGGGCTGATTTTCCGGTCGTGGCAGAATTTTTTCGAGTTTCAGCCCCATTGTGCTTCCTGCGTTGTCTAGTATACAGGGGAAAACGAGGTCAGGTATTGTAAGATCAGGAGAAAATCAAACCTGTTTGACATTCAATCGGCTGTGGTAGGGTGCTGGTAGGCAAATCCTGCTGTTGAAGCAGAACTACGATTGACCAGAACCTTGAGCACTGTGCATGTGCAAACAAGGGAGTTTTTCTTGTTGTTATTCTTCCACATCGATAAGTCCGATCTGCGCCATCTCTCGGCACAGATTAAGTCCAACGTGTGGTTTACACGCTGGACTCAGAACCAACATCTGAGCTGTAAACTTTTATATCCTGCAGTTTCATAGTACAGTTTGAGCTGTAGCTGAGTACAACTATTAGAAATATCATACAGTGTATGCCCAGCTTTAGGCACTGCCCTTGCCATTAAATTATTCATAAAAAAAATTATTTTTATGTTCACATTTTTCACGTTTGCAATAAAAACCTTGATAATAGTAAGACACAATCTAGTTTGGTTGACTGTTTTACTTCCATTTTCAGCCATTTGCTACATTTGTGTAACTCTTCTATAGTTCTTAAGATTGTAGTCCCAATATGGGAAGCAGGATTTCGGTTGTATAATGGCACCTGTCAAGCAGAAGGCTGCCTGGATTCACCACAGCAGTCCAGATCTCCTATCCTACCCAGAATAGTGTTCTAACTGTTGACCCCCTCAAATACAAAGGGATATTAGCTAGGAACAGGAGGTAGGAGCTACAATTTTCCCGTTTCAAAACGAGCCATAGCTTGTCTTTGTTTGGGAACGAGTTGAATAAACTATATAGCAGAAACATGATCTTATTAGATTTACGAAGAACCTTGGAATGCGGGTTATCCAGATGTTTTGTGTAACTCCAGAACTGTGCAAACATCTACTATGCCATTTTTGAAGTGGTGTGTATTAGAATTTTCCCTATACAACTTGTTCATTTCCAATACGATACCAATATTGCAGCTTTGTGAATTGGTATTGACTTTGCATTACTGATATTGACCTAATATGAAATTAGCACAAATTGTACCAGTTTCATTACTTATTTTATACTGTAGAATGTTAGAAAAGGCTTTATAAAGTATCCTAAAAAGGGGGAAAAAAGCAGAAGCTGAGTCCTTCTATCAGCATGAAGATATTGGAGATTTTAGATGTGGGCCGATAAAATACGATTTTAGTTTTTTTGGCTGATATCGGACCAATATCCGATATTAATATCAGATTGTGACATCCATAGCGTGCATCATTTCCTTCTATTATCATAGAAAATGGTTCTCATGTGGATTCCTGCGGTGTTTTGCCGTGGTGAATTTTCATGTGAGCTTTTAAATATTTTTTTCTAGAGTAACTTTTTCCACATATTACACAGAAATTAGCCGTCTCATTATTGTGAATAGAGAAGTGAACTTTTAAGCTACTGCTTACGCAAAATCCTTTCCCACAGATCCCACACAAAAAGAGCTTCTCATCGGTGTGGATCGTCATGTGATCAGTCAGCCTACCTTTTACGGTAAAACATTTTCCACAGATCGTACAGGAGAAAGGCTTTTCACCTGTGTGAGTTCTGATATGTGTATCAAGCTTAGACTTATGGGTGAAGCTTTTTCCACAAGACAGACATTTGAAAGGTTTGTCACCTGTATGAAGTCTGATGTGTGTATCAAGATTACATTTATGAGTGAAGCTTTTACCACAAGAGGGACATTTAAAAGGCTTGTCCCCTGTGTGAAGTCTGATATGTGTATCGAGATTACATTTGTGAGTGAAGCTTTTTCCACAGGACAGACATTTGAAAGGCTTCTCACCTGTGTGAGTTCTGTAATGTCTAACCAGATGACTTTTCCTAGCAAAGCTTTTCCCACAAGATACACATTCAAAAACCTTCTCACCTGTGTGAACTCTCATATGGTCGTTTACACGAGTTTTTGATATGAAGCTTTTCTTGCAAGTCCTACAGGAAAAAGTCCTTTGACCTGTGTGAGTTCTCAAGTGTTCAGTCAAATGACCTTTCACAGTAAAATTTCTATGACAAACAGTGCAGGAGAAAGGCTTCTCACCTGTGTGAGTTCTGATGTGTTTATCAAGCGCAGACCTATTAATGAAGCCTTTACCGCAGTGCAGACATTCATAAATCCTCCCACCCGTGTGAGTTCTCGTGTGAACTGTTAGATGTGCTTTTCTCATGAAGCTTTCTCCACATGTCAGACATGGAAAAGGCTTTTCACCTGTGTGACTTTTCGAGTGTACAGTCAGGTCACTATTTTGAGAATAAAAATCACCACAAGTTGTACAAGAGTACAAATTGTTATCTTTGTGAGTGTCCTCTTGCAAGTTAGGTTTTAAAACATCAACAGTTTCTTTACAATTTAAGTTTTCCTGACATCTACTTTATTTGGGCCCTTTATGTCGCTTTGAACCTGAGTCGTTTTGATCCTGCTTCTGAATTGTATTCGAGTCCTGAGGGATGAATTGGTTCCTGATTGGTTCTTTTTCAGTCTGGGTCTTTTCATGTAAAGGAGTCATAATAAATGTATCTTCAGTCTCCAGTTTGAGAAGAAGCTGCTCTTCATGCTCATTTATGGGGAGCTCTATTGTCTCCTCTTTAGTCCAGGTAGTGTCTAGTTCCTGGTGTTCTTCTTTCATCTGCAGAGGTCCAGGTTCCTCTTGGTCCAAACTGCAAATCCTCTCCTGTTTATAGAGCTGCTGGTCATAGAAAGTCTCCTCTTTGCCAACATAATCTTGTAGGTGGTCTGGAAACACAAACACAAGAGAAACGCTCTCTATTGTAGATTAAAGAAAGTAGACTTCACTTTAAACCTTAATATGAATGAAGATACTTTTAAAATCCACTGACGCTACAAGCATGCTTAGTGTGAGGGACTGCATTCCAGTCAATGAGTCGATGCAATCAACTGGTTTTCTTTAGATAGAAAACTTTGAATCAATTTGACTGGATGATCTGATGAACAGTTAAGTACCTTAAGATGAGATTTGTTGTGACTTGGCACTATATAAATAAACTGTATTGAATTACTATAGATATGTGTATAGAATGACTCTGCATATGATACACAAAATGGAAAATGGAATTATCTACAAAGATCCAAGCACTAAAGAAAAGGCAACAATATTAACAAAAGCAGAATCATTAGGAGCACATAATAAATGTTGGAGTAAATGCCCCTGACTTGGAAGGAAATGTTCTAAGAAGATATGTATTTTATTTTTAAATAGAATAAAAAAATAATGCTAGAATCATAATTCTGATTTGTCAGTAATGTCAGCATGTTTCATACCTATTCGGTGTAAAATGAGCAGGGGGGTCCTGGTAAAATCTAGCAGTCTGTGCTGATCGTCCATCTTTTCCTCGGACATACCAAGGCTTTTTCTATGAATGTTTCTTCAGTAGGAGTTAAATGATGCGCTGCTTGAAGGTGGACTTAAACGTCTCACTCATAGATTCTTCTTCTTGTGTTTTTTTTTCCGGTAACAGATTAGCGCCACCTGCTGCCTTTCACTGGCGGAAAGGTGCACAACACGAATCAAAATCCAGTATATATTAAAAAGAAATACGGGTTATAAGGACAGTAAATAATTTGATGGTATATTGTGGAACCATATGACAATATAATCGACCCTGACTGAACATGAAGAATTTTTAGGAGAGTTAATGCTGCTAACAGCTAACGACACATTTCTTCTTCATCATCTTAATGCACATCACACCCTAATGCTGCCACCTTCTGGATGAATTAAATATTTCATATTGTGACCTAAAACAGTTCAGATCAAACAATAAACACAGATACAATAGTAATGCATGAGAACCACTGATACAGTTTACATGTTAATATAAAGTTTTTATAATTTTAGCACAAAAAAAAACAACAACAAAAATTATTGCAAAATATAAATTTAACTGATAATTCTTTTCTCTATAAATATTTGGGGTCTGTTTGCAAGTATAGTGGGGCACAAGGGGATATAGTTGTGTGTGCTAAAGTGTTGACAACATTTAAATTGCTTATGTAGCATCCTGCAGCACATCTATTCTTAGGTTTGGTGTCTCATCTTTCTATTTTCACCAGGATTAAATTTACTACACTTTAGCAGAGAAAAATTTAAAAATCTGTTGTTGTTTTTTTGTTTGATTTTTTCCTGAATATGTGAAACTTAATGCGACATTTACCAGTCCAGTAACTGGAAAGATTGGTGGTCAAATATGTAATCCTTTTTTTTTTTTTTTTGGCCCACTGTGCTGGAGCAGAAGTTGCATAATTTTCCCCAATGCATTCCTCAGCATGTGGGAATATATATGATAGTGTTGCTCCGATGCCGTTTTTTTTTTGGCCCCCATACCGATACCTGATAACTGGCTGTGCAGTATTGGCCGATAAACAATACCATCTGTTTGAAATTGATGTATATGTGCATATATGAAGAACTGCATATTACTCTGATGTATAATAATTGCCATCATGGCTTTGTCAAGCTGCTGCTTACCTTTGTAAAGCAGGAAAAAGACTAATACAAAGTAAATCCAGTAGAACGTGACAATAGTTGAATAAACTTTTGGCTCTCAAAATGACATTGGTGCGCTATTTGTTGATACTCACCAAAACTGATACCATGATGTTAGTATCTGCCCGATACTGGTATCCGTGCAACACTAATATATAACAATGTAAAAGGGCCCAAATTATTAGTCAAGGTGTGAATTAGCACATCAAATGTAGTGTATTTGTTAGAATAATTGTATATAAATATTTGTGTAGTGTTATAATGCATAAAGCTGTGTGCTATATGCATGTGTTCATAGCCATCTTTTCTGAAGTATACTGTGATTTGTAGATTTGCTTTTGGGGAGGTTGTGGTTGATTTACCAGCAGCACTCGACCTGCTGAACTTTGGTGAACAGCTTCAACAGCTTAAACCTTGACTGAACCCTGAAATTTAGAGGATGTTAAAGGTGTAACCTCAATGACAAAAGAATAAAACACAACAAACACTCCAAAGTTCTGCTACTTAAATGTTTCAGTATAACTTTCTCTTCCTGAAAGAATAAACCAGCAAATTACTAATGGTAAAAAAGAGTTGGTAGCAGCTCAATCACTCAATTTATTCTTTCTAAAAGTAGGCAAAGACAGTACTTAAAACAACCACAAGAGATCAGCAATAAAGTATAGAGGTCCATCCATCTCCACCTTTCTACGGGTGAGAGGAGAGACCCTGGACAGGTTGCATGCACATGCAAACCTAAGGACAACTCGGAGAAGCCAATTAACCTAATAGTCATGTTTTTTGACTGTGGGCGGAAGCTGGAGTACACAGAGAGAACCCACACATGCTCAAGGAACATGCAGAAAGACCCCGGGTCAGAAATCAAACCCAGAGCCTTCTTGCTTCATGGCAGCAGTGCTACCCACTGCACCACTGAGCAGCCCGGTAAAATATCTGTGGGGCTTTAATACTAGATAACATAATATTTAAATCTATTCTAAGTAGATATAAAAAGATGATCCAGTGCATTGTTACAAACATCTGTCAGAAGGTCTGGTGAGATCCAAAATGTTTTGTTTTTTTCCGTCTGTGTTAATGCCGAAAGGGTGAAAAACTAATATTAAACATTACCAAAAACACATCATCCTTGTGGTGAAATATGGACATTGGATTTGATCATTGTTGATAGACTTAAGCTACACATGTTATCCCAGTAGTGTCACCCAACCAGAGGGCTGGTTTTTTGCACCTTTAATCAAAACTTCATATGAAAACTACTTTTAGAATTCAATTTTTGGGATGAAATAAACATTAGAAAATGAATCGTACATGTTAATTGGTGCAAATGAACGAAAAAAAAAAAAAAAAAAAAAACAACATGTCAATTGAGTAGATTTAGCTTTTTTTCACTACAATATCTAATTTCAGTTTTTAATTCTCTTGGAATTTATTTTCCATGTTAGAATGATTTGATGAGAAACTCGTCCCATTTTTCTTCACTTATTATTCATTATTTATTTATTTGCCTTTAGGTTTTGATCTTTTCCTCTCTTTTAGTCTGATTTCTGAAAATAATCTCCCTGAACAGCTTTAGGTGTTTGCTTAAAGAAGAGTAGGTAAAATAATAAATAAATCTGTAACTATCCAAAGCTACTCCAAAACACTAGCAGTTGTGTTTACATTTAAAGGTGATCTCTAAGTTGCCATCTAAGAGAGGCTGAATAAATTGTATTTAAAATATTTTAAATTTGTGGTTTAAAGAAAGGAAAGCGCAAAAAATCCTCAAGTTGAATTACAGCTTGAAAGAAGATTATTATCATATTATTAACCCCCCCACCCCCTTTTACTTTTACTTGTACGCACTGGTGACAGAGCTCCTTCACAGTTTTTTTTTCCAATTAGTACATTGTATGATTACTAGATGGACATCTTTTTTTTAATCTGAGGACTCTCTCTGTTGTAGAAATTAACATTGAATAAATATTTATAAAGAAGTTGTCATTTTTAAGAAGAACTTTTTGTATTTCTTGCAGCCTTGTAGCGGTGGTTGCAAAAATGCTTTTCTCTTGCTGCGGAGTCAAAACCTCTTCTAGGTCGCCTTGCAATCATTTCTAATATGCAGGGGGAAAACATAAATAATCTAAATTTGTACAGTCATTTATATATCATCTTTTCTTTATTACACTACACTATGCCACACAAATTTGGAGCTACAAATATAGAAAATTGTTAGTATAGCTTTAAAAGGTTATATATTAATAGGTTAAACAAGGTCATGTCCCAATGCAAGCTTCTTGTATGACTATAGTATGTTGTATGATTCTCCCTATGACATGTCTGAATAATGAAAGTAACATTGGTTCTCTCAACATTTGGCATCATCCTTCGACCAGCCCCAGGATTTACCACATGATCCACATGTGTTGCCCTGATTCTCATTATAAATCTTTCTATGTTGTTAGTCTTTTCTTCCACTTCTACTCCAGTTTTTTCCCCTTCCTTCATGCATCCACATCCTTCTTCCGCCACCTGACCTTCCATGTACTCCAGTTCTCTAGATACAGAATGCGCCTCATGTCGATCATGTCCATTGGTTTGTACATACTTGTAAAGTGGGGATTAAAGTGGTTCATCTGTGATTGGCTGTGAGGAAGAGGCTTGTGATTGGTTGAAACTAATAGTTCAAACATCACTTTTCTTCAGTGTGAAATAAGGTTCAATTGAGAAACATCATCTATAGATAATGTCATTGACAGCATAAAAATATTTTTATAATGGATGTACAAAATTTATGACATGTCGCAAGCAATAAAAAGGAAGATTTTTAGTTGTATGTAAAAAGGACTATTCAGCCTGTACAGGTATAGCTCATTTAGCAAGTTCAAAAGATATTTATATTTACTCAATTGTTTTATGTCCAAAGGAAATGATTATTGAATGAGATAAACATGAAACTGCCACTAGGTTGTGCCCAAGCGACTGAATGTTGTGGATGTTGCAATAACTGTTGTACAGTTTGGTAGAGGCATAGGGGGTTCTAGAGCCAGTGATCCTGTTCCTGGTCTCTGCTTTGGCCCCTGTACTGAAAACTTAATGATAAGTAGGACAATTTTTCTCAACATTGGAGTATTTTCACCTGATTTAAGGAGATAATACATTTTGTGGATGAAATAGGTTAATTTATGTTTAAAGTAAGGAAAAACACAACTCCTTTGTTTTTATTTCATGTGAATGAAATCTTATTTTATTTATTTAAGAACCAAAATACTAATTTCTTTGGCTGGTCAGTTAACAGAGTAATACCAAATTAATTTCTTATGATAATTTGCAACAACAGAAGAGAAAGTAACACACTCTTGAACCACTTTAATATTTAAATGTAAATGTAAATTTAAATGTATTTTAACTGTTATTTAGAAAGTACAGTCAGCTTTAAAATAGGATCATAGTTTTCATCTGTTAAATCAGGGGTCTTTAACCTTAGCTTCATGGCTCACTTAATATACCATGCATTCATGTTGTTATTTGTCTGTGTTAGTTATTCTTTTGACCTTTTCTAATGCTGGCCCCACCCTGCCTTCTTTGTTAAATGTTATCTTTAAAACTGAATTAAATAATTGGGGGAGTGAGTGAACTGTTTTATGAAATACTATAGAAACAATCATCTGACACTCAATATCAACAAAACAGGGTAAATGGCTGTAGATTCCAGAAGAAACAAGAACAAGATAAATCATTTTAACATCATAAGAAATGTAGGTATAAATACCTTGATTTTGATCTGGATAACAAACTCTGCTGGAGACACAACAGTGAAGTCATTTACAAGAAAGGATGGAGCAGACTGTACTTCTAACCAGGGCCGTGCAGAGACCACTAAAGGGGCAGGTGCTCAAAAAAAAAAAAAAAAGGGCACATCTTATCGCATTTTAGGACGGAATATTAACAAAGTCACATAGCTTTCAGAGTTTAATGAACAATGATAAATTACAAAATTGTGA